AAAGATGTGGAGTGGTGATCTCTCCATTACACATCCATCTTAAAGATAGATGTGGAGTTGTGATCTCTCCAAAAAAGGGCAAAGATGTGGAGTGGTGATCTCTCCATCACACATCCATCTTAAAGATAGATGTGGAGTTGGATCTCTCCAAAAAAAGGGCAAAGATGTGGAGTGGTGATCTCTCCATCACACATCCATCTTAAAGATAGATGTGGAGTTGTGATCTCTCCAAAAAAAGCGCAAAATCAACGGTTTAAAATTATTTCAAAACCTTATTGCTTTTAGTCTTAAAATTTTATTTTTATACATTCACGATTTCCTCCAAAATCCATCTCAAAAATATATCATGATGAGGGGAACGTATATCTACATATGAATACTACAACTTCTTCATCTATATATAGGATGAAGCTTGAATTGGGGTGTTCATGTCCATACTTTATTGAGATAATAAGCTATAATGATAAATTGAATTTTTTTTTAACGGTATCATGATAAATTGATTTTACCGTGATATTATAAAATTCATCATAAATATATATAAAAGAAAGGAAAAAATATAATGATACTATTTATATTTGGTACAAGGTGATCATAGTTAATCTTGATTATTGAATGTAAAATTAAGTAGCTATATTTATTCTATTGATCAAGTTCAAAGTTCAAAATAACTTTTATCTAACTTTGTGATGCACCCAAACTATCGGATTTCATATTAGATGGTTATAAATAACTGCAACCTCATTGTATCAAAGGTAGATGGTCTAAAATAAAACATGTGAGTCATTAATGTGGATAGGGTATTCTCTCTCTTCCTTTATGAGGGATGTGTAAAAATGGTTTTGTTATGGGACTATACTTTTATGGGGGCTCATGGTTTTAGTTGTGTACATGGATTCTCTTTGTAGGTGTGAAAAATGTAATCTCTTATTTAATCTATGTAGGTTAATTATAGGTGCTCTCTTATTTGTACTGTTAAAGAAAAAGTAAGTAGGAGTGAATTTTGAATTCTCAGCAAAGATTTCTCTACCTTTTTTTTAAGCGGGAAAAGTTTATATAAAGTTGTCACGTTAAATTGTAGAATTAAGGAGCACCACAAAAATCCATTGGACAAAGCTATTTAGATATTGGAAAAAATCTCATTGATCATCAGGATGTCGAGTTGTATGGATATGGAAAAATAACAGATTTCAAATATGAAAATAATACATTCTACAACACATTATCTTGACCGTCCATTTTCAAGATTTTCATGCATTTATAGATCCACTTGATTTGTATCATTCTGGGCATTTAAAATTATATATTTAGAGATGATAATAGATTCTCGGCTCAGATTCAAAATTTTTGACATCAAAATTGCATCCTATAACAAAGTTTGGAGATACGCCTTACTTGGATTGTTTAAGATTACAACTTTATACAAACTTCACCCTTTTTAAAATGAAAAAGTATACAATTGGACCATTTATTTTTGGTTCAAGATGGGAAAATTTATTCTTGACCTAGATGTGAAATTGGGTGGCTATATTCGTGCGTTGACCAAGATCAAAGTTCAAAATAAAATTTATTGAAATTTGTGACATATTTATGCTATCAGGTTTCACATTGGATGGTTATAACTTATAAGTAATTATGATATCCTTGTATAAAAAGTAGATGGTATTACAATCCCTTTAAAATCCTACTTTAGAACTTATCTCCAAAAACCTCAAAATGAGCCTATCTTGGGGTTTCAGAAACATGGGTTTTTAGTAGAAAACAATACCAAACACCTGTGTTAGGAGGAATTG